CTGGTTGGTCTTCTACGAATCTTGATCAAATACTGGTGCCCGGCCTATGCTCCGGCCACTATTTATAGTCGATCGCCGACTCCCCACCAGGCTGGTTTGCAGCTTTGCAATAGGGAACCGAGCGATCGAACTGCAACTAGCGGCCGAAGTCGGAATTGCGTCGAGCGGGCGCGTCAGCACGCCACGCGCACTGCTGAGTGCGAGTGCCGCGCCGCCACATCTCCCACCGGAATTCGCCCAATATTTTTTCGTATAAACCCTGTGACTTACTTCTGTGATTTTATTTTTTGTGTGACGCGTCGGGCTCTCTACACCCGTTTCAGCATGTTTTCTTCTTTGACGCATCGGGCTCTATACACCCCTTTTAGTTTTTCTGTGTACATCCGGCAGCCATAAAGAGGGTTATAAGGGGGAGAAGGTTCTCAAATTTGGTTTCATGCATACATATGAAACAGACTTTGGGAACTTTCTATCAACCTAGCCCACCTTCTTCATCAAATCATCATAATTTTGTGAACCTACACTAATTTTCCTGAAACACTCACGGGAAACAGCGCACCTCTCTGGAAGTGGTAAGTTGAATGATAAATGCGGCGTTGCCACTTCATTTTATTAAAGGTCATTAGCGGGAGGGAATCGGAAACGGACTTGGGCAGCGGGAGGGAATCGGAAACGGACTTGGGCAGCGGGAGGGAATCGGGAGCCGCCCTGAACGGAGGGGGTACGCCCCCTGATCGCTTTGCAACCCCCAAAAGTCCCTCGTTCCTCCTGCGTCATGTGTTTGGCCTTCCCCAAATGATTTCATATTTTAGAGTAAGATATTAACTAATTAAAGTAAAAATGGTGTAGAGCAAAATTCGGTCCAACCGAGACCGGGATATTCGGAAACCACCATCGCGGGAAAAGCGCCAAAAATATACGTTTTCCGAAGTTCGTCGCCTCATTCAGTTTATTGAATGGAAAATGGGATTCACTAAACGACATTGTTTGTTCTTCCGCCGTTTAGGGATGAAAAATTGGGGAGGCTCTTCGGATGAAAGATGAGGGGTGGGGAGCGTTTTCTGTTACGCTCTTTTTGATGGGAATAAAATCGAGTCGAAGCTCCGAACATTATTAATGGCGCTCCTGCTCATTTTTCCCGCACCGTCCTAACGCAGAAATGAAAACATCGGGATGGAACTGTCCATTTGCGGATCGGCATGGGGATGTAGAGTCTCCGATAACCAGGGTTGTGAAGTTTTTAACGAAAATATATTTCTTAAGTCAAACGGTAAAATTCTTCTCCACTGAAACAAAAATCTCGGTGTATTTACCAAAAAAGGGTAAAATTACCGAGAATTCAGGGTTCTATTTGATCCCAATTTTTTCTTGGTAAAATTACCATCTATGGAATTGGTAATTTTACCGAGATACCGAGAAATCTCGGTAAAATTATTGAACTTTCTTGGTAATTTTACTGGACCTTGGTAAAAACGCCAATATTTTTTATCGACTGTGGTAGAATTACCGAAATAAAATGGCAACGTTACTGGGAATTGATTACCAATAAAAGTTGTAATCTTACCTGAAAAAAAAAGTAAAAATACCAGTTTTTAGGTAAGCTTACCAGTCTGTCTTGGTAATATTACCAATAATTGGTAAAAAAAAGTGAGATGGTAAAGTTACCAACGGATCTTGGTAAAAACGCCTAGAATTTTTTTCAGTTTTGAGAAAATGTTATACAGGAGTTTAAACCACTACACAAGTCGTTAAATTGGTAAAATTTAAAAATTTTACAGAATTTACAAAATTGTACTGTCGCGCTGAGAGCGGAGGTCGGGACACCTCTGAAACGCGTCCGCCTCAAAATTACAATTTTATGCAAGTGAGTGCTTTTAAGTTTGTTTTTAAAAGCTTTGTAATTTTTTTGTAAATTTCTTAAAATTTTTAAATTCTTCTCGCCGGGTGCTGAAGAAAATTGGATTCCCACAAAATCGTCTCCTTCAACAACATATCTGCGTCAGGAATACGAATTATTGCGCCGCACAGTGGAACGAACTGATAGAAGAAGTTGGACAAGAAATTTTGGGATGAAATTTCAAATTGGTATGTTTATTTTGTCACAAATGCAGTTCCAAAGGATGTTTCCGAAAAGTAATTTCACGAAAAAATTAATAGAACGACACTTAAACTTTTTTGTTTCATATTTTCGACAATAGGCTGCTTTCAAAGGTTTCAGATTTTCTCCGACTTCTCCTATGACTCGGTCCATTGTGTGCCGAATAGAATGAAAGTTAGGTTGAATTTCCTCGTCGATAAGATTTTTTTAAATTTAAAACCACACATTTTATTTAATCATAAAATATGCAGGGGAAAAAATCATTTTGAATGCGTACATTCTCACGAGATGTATCTTAACCATCCAGAAACATTCCCTAATAATTTTAAAAAAAGAAAAAAATTAGTAATTTTTTATCTTAACAACGACCACAATCATTAAGGCACGCATTTTAAGTCATTTTTCTTGTTCAAAAGACCTCCTTTTAAAATTCATATAACGCACATAAACTGTCCTTTACCGTTTGTCTTTGGTTTACATCCTTTATCTCTGGACTCCAGACTCCACTGAATTCTTCAACCATTTGACAAACTTGGCTGCTGTAGCCACAGAGATATTTATCATTCTTCGACCGATAAAATTCGCGGTTCTAACGTTGGCAAAGGTTACTTGAAACGAACCGATTTTTATCTTTGAATATGAAAATCACCGTAGGATAGTCATTCGTTTCGAATCGTCTCAAATCTTCGCAAAATTTGGCAGCTTGCTTTGCTTTCATGCCATGACCTTTTCGTCTTGCCCAGCATGTCAAGAAAAGCTGCTTGTGATCATTCTTTTACACACGGTTTGCTGTATTACGGATTCAAAGATGATGTGAATCAAACTTCGAGATAAGTAATGAGTATATTTGTAAAATTTCGTTCGGAGGAAAAATATACGCAGATATGCTCCAATATAATATAGTCGGCAGCTTTATGCCAAGCTTTCCGTGGTTACTTTTGCCAAAGCGCAGCCGGGACTCCAAATCTCAGCTGCAGCTGCTGAGCTTTCTGAAGTGTGGATACTCTCGAATTCTTCTTTATCATGTTCGTTAAATTAAAACAAACTGAATTTTAATGTTCGGGTATTTTGTTCGTCCAACTCGTCCCGCGCTGCATCAGAATAAGAACGATATTTATAGTCATCATGGTCGTCATGCCTTTCATAGGTGCAACTAATTTCTATTCAATAAATATTCAAACACGCTCGCCTAGAGTAAGCCAAATTTAGTCATTGACCGGTCATAAATCCGTTAAAGACTCACTAATAATCACGAGAACTGCCGCTTGTAAGAAACACTTGGACGCATTTTACCACCACGGTGTAAAGGGAATCCGTTGAGCGTTTTGTACTCATTAAAAGAGGATCTCTCAACCGTTATGTAATCATTAAAAGGGAATCCGTCGAGCGTTATGCACTCATTAAAAGGGGGTCCGTCAAGCGTTACGTACTTATTGAAAGGGGGTCCATCAAGCGTTATGTAATCATTGAGAGGTTATCCGGGGTGAGTTAATCCCAAAATCAGCTTATTAATCCCGTTATCATGAACGGCAACCGCGCCCCGGGAATTGCTCCATCGAAACTGCATCGATTCACCGCCATTGATCGGAAGCCGCCACCGAAGTCCGACCGCGAGGCGCTTCGTGTCGTATTAGCCCGCACGGAAGCGCCGCGGCTTAACGAAATTAATTTCGCGCGCGCACCCCCTGCCAAACGCCAGCCCCGACACCTCCCTCCCCCGGCGGATACCCCGGGTATCCCGCCCGATCTGGCAAGGGGGCGATCCCTTTGAGCGTCGGCGGCGGGATCGCACGCTCCAAATGAGCTGCAACACCTTAACCTTTGAGATTTAGAGTCGATTCCGGGACCGATCCCCTGATCCATCGCAATCGCGCCGGTCCCTCTTCGCCGATAAGGTAAAACGCAGTATGAACCTTCAGGCGCTGCCAAATGTCCCTCGGTAAAACACGAATTCCCTGATAAACCCTTCGATATTTTTCTTTCGATTTTTCATATAATTTTGTTCGCAATTTCTACTGTCGTTCATGGAAATATCAATAAGGAAAATCCATATTTTTCCATATAAATTAATGATTACGGGAGGAAATTTGGCAACTCTGGAATGTTCGTACGGCCTTTTTCCCTAGCGCGGCGGTGTTCTCGAATTACGCGCGGGGGGAAAGTGATGGTTCCCGCGAGCAGTTATTTCGAGAACGGGGTGGGTTCCACCCCCCGGAGAGTGGGTTTCAGGAAAGCTTAAAGCCCGTATCACACGATCAAAGTAGCGCTCTCAAAAAGGCTCATCAGTGGCATTGCTGACTGTTGGCTTCTCAAAGATCCACGGGGAAAGAGGTAGGGGTAGGGGTAGGGGTTGGGTCCCGACCAGAGACAACCCGACTTGGACATTTCCTTTGGAGATGTTGCATGTGTGTGAAATTTGCGTTTTGACTACTGGTTTTTATGTTAAAGTTCGCGACAAACACGATGGTGCCACTTGTTCTCTCTGAAATTAATCCCAAGCTCAAAAAAAGCTCTCAAGTTGAGGCAAAAATGCAGGGGACATCCCACGCCATCCTGAGAGTCCACCTCTCCATCAAGGCAAACTCTTTATGCAAAGATAGGGAGCAAATACATTGACAGGGCACATACAATGTCAATGTTTAGAAAAGACATAATCAATAAAATCTTATCACCTTTTATCTATCATTTTTAACACTACATTTTCCGTATGGCTAAGGGGTTCGGAATTGAATACTTGCAATAATTTGTGAACACAACGAATACTAAGTTTTGTAAGAGATATAGTGTCAATCTCAAAAATAAAAAAATGATTCAACACAGGCAACAGCGCTTGACAGCATTATTAAATTATTTTCAAGAATAGAAATTAATGTCGTAATCCTCATTGTGTTTTATTGATTTTATTTCAGGTTATTGTGACCTTTGTGGGAACTACAGACAGAACGTAAGTGAATGAAACACATATTTCCATAATTTTTTGTTTAAATATTCATTCAAACTTAAATCTACTATTGTGGCAAAAAGACACCAGGGCTCATTCCTGAAGATGAAATGATATGCAAGGTCGTGTCTCATTAAAATGCAGCAAATATCCAATGACTTCTTGTATTTAAAAAGAAATGACTGAACAAGAGCCATAACTCTGGGATACTGGTTGTTGGCACAAAAAACATACAATGTTGCGCATACTACCAGGACAACTGGTTTTTTGCCAGCATATCATAAAAGGTACAAATTGGTGCAAGCTTGGTTATTAGTGATATTATCTTTAAGGGAAGAATGCTCGAGATTTTCTACTAAAAGTCGACTTTCCCAATTTGAACAAAACAAACAAGTCAGTAAAATACGATGTTTTATATGCAAAGGTGTCAAGTTACTATTTTCGAATTTGGATTCTAACGCTACTAAATTTGATAGCAATCTGATTCCCGCAAGAAGCAATACGAGGAAAAAACGAATTTAAATCGTGACGAACGGTGTTATGTGAGTATTTTAAAAGGCGGACCTCTATGCGGGCAAAGGGATGTCCATATTTTTTGTCAAAAAATGGAAGCTGTCGTTCGTTTTTTTTGTTTCTATCAATCACTTTACACGTGCGCTACAAGTCACCGTATCGAAGATGCATTCACCATCATTTCGCACAACTCTGTCTTGTAATGATGAGGAGACTTTTATCACTGTCCGGTTCTTCTCAGAGCAATTAAAACCCTTAAGTGGAAAATTACTCACCTTTATAACTTCAAAAATCCGTTTCGAGCGAAATCAATCGCTCGCGCTACTCTCAATCCTTTCCGCGCACGCACACACTCTCAATTAGCAATTTCCTAACCTCACTCGCGAGCGTGGTCCACCCACGACCACTTTAGAATCACAGCTCTGACACGTTCGAGACACCTCGCAACACGCACTGAGCCCTCATGCCCAATCGCACTTGGTAAACACATTTCACTGACAAGACAATCATACGATGACATGAAGTGGAGTAGATAATTGAGTCGAGAGCCGGCTTCTTCCTCGTTCTTCTTATTCTTATTATCTTTTTCCCACTTTTTTATTCCTCGCGCTATTCTTCTCTGCAGCAGGGCGCACAATCGCGAATAATTAACGAGGAGTCCTTGAGCCGCATCGGTTATTCATGCCCGTGGCCACAAAAAGCGCGGATTTGCATAAGTTTCGCATTCGAGATGCGCGATTTCCACTCGTCGCGGCAAAGACGTAAGCCTATCGGTGTTTTAGACCACCTCACCTGCATCATAGCATACCGCGATGAGGGAAGATGGGGGGGGNGGGGGGGGGGGTTTCTCGGAGGCGGGAAAGTCTGGTAAAGGCGAAGGCAAAAATTGGAGCTGTCTCTGGTTGAACTTCAGTGGACTTTGGAGTAATACCAGATTGCAAAAGGATTGAACTCGGTAGGAAAGGAGATCCCATCAGCGGTTGCCAGCTCTCTCTTCAAAGTTGATTAATTTTTGCTCCATAACCAAGTCGTTTGGTTTCGGTTGGTTTTGTGCTATTTTTATCACCGATTTAAACTAATTGGTGGAACTTCGGCAAAAAAGCACCTGCTCATAAAATCAGTGTATGTTAATATCGGGTATATTTCGACTTCTATTGACATTGAATAAAAGGAAGAGAGAAGTTTGGCAACAGGAGATTTGAGATGGAGCATATCTGTAGAATACAATTCAAATAATGTGCACTGTCCTGTTAAATCCAGATAGACTCTACATTTTTAGTCTTTTGACTCCTTTGACAACTACATGCTCTCTACTCTGTAAAATGGATTATGAAATAAAATTCCCTCATCGGTAGACCTCTGTCCATGGAATCAGGTCCACTTTCATAAGGCTTAAATCCACCGTATGTATACATGTCACATTGAATACGTGAAAAATATTCTATTCTTAGAAGTTCCCGAGGGAAATAGGGAGCGTATTTACCTATTGAGCAATCAAAAAAATACATTGATATCCATGTTTGGATTCTGCCCAGCCAAGAGTGATAGTTCCGAGAAAATATTAAATTCCGCTCCAGAAATCTCTGTAAAACACTCAGGCCGTTCGACAGCTGTTTATACTTTAGAGTGAAATTCTTAGAAAAGTGGAGGCTTTCAAATAAGATACACTGCACACAGAAAAAAATAAATGCTGACGACGTAACCTTTTGTTCACAGGGCTCCTGCAGTTTCTTTGTTACACTTACAGAATTTTTCTGTTGTGAAAACAGAACTTCGATCGTGGGAACAGAGTACTCTGTCCTCATAACGGAAGCTTCTGTGACTGTTACAAAAGAAGTGCAGGAGCCCTGTGAGCAGAACTATTTTTTTCAGTGTGTATTAAAAGAACTAACCCAACTATGTTGCAACGAGATAGTGAAGGGAATCAAATAGGCTACATTTTGCATTTCGAAACAACAGTTTTTGGCTCATCCGAAAAAAGCGCATATTATCATGGGAAAAGTAACCGCTTGTATGTCGTCACTAAAACGAACCAGAAATTGTAGTTCCTACTAGCAAAATGTAGTCCAAATAGCGATTTTCCATTACGAAATGCAGCTCAAATGAAAATGGCCCCACATGGTCGTTCCCCTTGTGTCCACCATTCACTAAAACTGGTTTTGGATGTATACCATACTGCTCACCGTGAAAATGCCAACCTTTCCGCTATGAGCCACTTGTCGCGTAGGATATTTTTAGAGCTTCATTCAGCAACGAAATAACCACATCGTTACGTCACGGGGGTACGAACGGCAGACCGCGAGCTACAAACTTGGGGCACGGTGGCGAGCTACAGGTCGCGAAATCCAACTGCGGCATCTCGGCGAAGGCGCGATGAGCGACGCCTCGAAGCTCCTCGACACACCAGACCGGTTGCTCTGGATTCTGATCACTGATTTAATTTATCAGTCGAGCACGCAAACAGCAGGCGGCACGATCAGCGCGCGGCGCCTGGCGAGGGGGCCGGGGAGACTGTTTGTCAGGGGACGGGGGGAACGCTTGGCAGGGGACGGAGAGAGGGAGGCTGGAGCTTTGGACCTTTACAGTCTTGTATCTGAAATGGGCAGTAGCGACAAACTTATCAAAATTGTCTTTTGTCTAAAATTCCACTGATTCCATTAAAATCACACCGAAAAAAAAGTTATGTTGATTTAACATTCTGGACGGAAAAAAAGTGTGCGAGAACGTAAAAAATGTTAAATTACCCGCTGAAGCAGTTACTTTACCAATGTCGAGACGTAAAACTAACTGCTATGGCAAGTAATCCAGCATTTTATAAGTTCTCGCACATTTTTTTTTACATCCGGAATGTTAAATCAACTTCACTTTTTTTTCGGTGCACTGACTGATTATGCTAAAGCAAAAAAATTCTCATAACTTGCCGTTTCTCGGACGAAAGAGCGTAAGTACATTTCGACTCTGCAAAATTTTCACCAGCGAATTGTACTTTTACTGTCTCGGGTACGATTCCGACTGAAAATTTTACTGATTTATCTTCTGACTACGCCCGAAAATGAGCCTAATTTTGGACAGAAATTGCGCAGTAATGAAATGCCAAGGAATGAGATTATTTGAGTCAATTTTGGAACCTTGGAGTGGACAATTCGGCGTCGGATCGATGTGACCACAATTCAACGCAACATATATTTTCACTGGCAAATTGTATTTTTACTAAGAATCTGTTAAATGATTTTGACTGAAAATGTCGTTGATTTTTCTTCTGGTTGCGCTTAAAAATGAGCTTAACTGTGGAGAGGAATTGCGTGATCGTATTATTGTAAAAAATTGATTTATTTGAGTCAATTTTGCAAGCTTGGAACGGAGTTAGGTTCGTTCGTCTAGGGAATGACAAATTGCCATTAATTGAGCAGAAAGGAGCCATGTTACAACTACTATCGCCATATTTCATCGAATTTCTTACTTTTTACCGGCAAACGGTGGTGTAGATTATTTTGAAAATTTTCGGAAAATTTTTCTGTGACTTGTAGCAATATCCCCGAAATCGCTCACAAAAATCCACACAACAGTCTCCCTGTAAAAATATAAATAAATTTGGCTGCAGCTGATGTGACTTGGTTCCTTTCTGCCGAACGCGACTCAATTTTGGTTGGGGGAACCAAAGAATGTGGTGCATGCCTGTCAGCCGTATCTCTATATTGGTCTATTTGTCGCTCCTTTGACACAAATGCGTATCATGATTCCCTTATGAGCCCAGAAAGAATGGATTTACATGTAAAACAGGGCGCAAGTAGAAACCGAGGTACACCTTCACGTCAGAGAACGACGTTGGTGGACGTGAACGACGCCCAGTGGATCGAATCAAATAGAGAGGTTGGACATGGATTTTTTGACACAAATTGCGAATTTTTATGTTTATTTCGTCTTATTTTAAGGTCCAGGAGTGCTGCTAGAGGAACATTCCACAAGGAAACCACTTTTAGAACCTCAAAGTTTGGCATAAACAAAGTTATGAGTGTTTAAAGTTTCCAAATTTTTTTCCGACTTCTCCTATCGACTCGATCTACTGTGCGACGTGCGATCGCCAATCCTAGCTCCCTTGAGAATAAAACGAGGCGTAAATCGTCGCTTCTCTGACGTGAGGGCGTATCTTAATTTCCACATGAGAGCCCTGTTTCAAATATAAATCCATGTTTTCTAGGGCTCATGCGGAAATTGAGGTACGCCCTTACGTCAGAAGAGCGACGAAATAACTAGAAATAAGGCAAATGTGGAGGTCAGCGAAGCCCGAAAAAAGTTAGAAAGTCGGGTAATCGGATTGAATAAAGAGTGAATGCACATGAGGTAATCGCACCCTGCGATCCTCGGCGAATCATCCACCCAACTTGCGTTTCTCCGAAGCTACTCCCAAGTTTGTATCCCTGCTCCCTTATTTACGCACTGTCCACATCAAGTTGTCGAAACCCGCGAACAATTTACGGAGCTGAAAGCAAATGCAAGTAACAGAATTTCGTCGGCGTCATCTTAATTTAACTCACTCAGAGAATCAGAGCACTCGGAGGGTTCGTAGAATTGAATCACCCCATTCGTAATTTCTTGGGAATTTATCCTATCTCGCCTTTAATTGCAATCAAAGATTAATCGGAGTGAGCAGGAGGATCAACAGAGGGTTGCAAGAAACTTTATGCAGATTGGATTAATAATGCACAGGTATTTGAGCATTTACGGGGCTGAGTAACTTCGCAGCCACATCAATTTCCCCCGGTTTCGACTTGATATCGGGGATTATCGTGAAACAGCTACCCGCTATTGCAATCAAGAAATTGGTTGCAATTTACAACGCGGTCATCAGGCTGAAATACGTCCCTCTCCAGTGGAAAAAGGCTGAAATTATAGTAATACTTAAAAGTGGCAAACCAGCGTCTGACCCAGCCTCATATCGCCCAATATCCTTACTTCCCGTTCTAGGGAAAATCTTTGAAAAACTGTATATTAAAAGGTTATTAAAAATAGCAAATAAAAAAAATCTGATCATCAAGGAACAGTTTGGTTTCCGTGCTAAGCACAGTACGATTGAACAGCTACATAGAGTTACTTCCTTCGTTATGAAGGCACTGGAGAGGGGGCATTTCTGCAATGGGGTGTTCCTGGATTTCACCCAGGCTTTCGATAGAGTAAACCACCAGCGTCTCGTTGAGAAACTCGCGAATATGCTTCCTGGAAATCACACCAAGCTTTTAGCTTCATATCTAACTGATAGAGAATTCAGGGTGCGTTTCGAGGACGCATATTCCGAGTTCAAACCAATAAGAGCTGGCGTTCCACAAGGGTCTGTTCTATCACCCCTTCTGTATAGCTTGTTCACAGCAGACATTCCAAAACCTCAAGGAAACTCTGAGTTGGGTGTGTTCGCGGATGATACTTCGGTTTTCGCGAGCGCCCCATCTTATGAGAAAACTGTGGACATGCTGCAGACCAGTCTGGATGAAATCGAGGAATGGACGAATGCTGATGGGTCCAAGTTAAATCCAAACAAGTCTGAAAACGTGGTTTTCACACTCAGGAATTTTGTCCATATTCCCTTAGTGCTAAATGGACAAGCTATACCCCAATCGCAAGCAGCCAGATACCTTGGCCTTATCATGGACTCTAAATTGAACTATGCTGAACATATTTCTAGGAAAAAGAAGCAAATTGAACTTAAACTGTTAAAAATGTATTGGTTATTCGGAAAGAAATCTAAACTTAGTTTAAATAATAAAATCTTACTATACAAGTCCATGATAAGGCCAATTTGGGCATACGCCAGTCAGCTGTGGGCCTGCGCTGCCAATTCCAACATACAGAAGATGGAAACGGTCCAGAACAAAATCTTAAGACAAATAGCAAACGCTCCATGGTATATGAGGAACGATGATATCAGATCTGAACTCGGCTTAGAAAGTATGGACGTTTTCATCTCCCGTATGTACGGAAGGTATGAAGAGCGTCTGGAATCCCATCCCAATCCAGAGGCAATTAAGCTTCTGGACTGGGCAGGGGAGACCAGACGTTTAAAGCGCAGGAAGCCACACGAACTTTACACACCTGACTTCCGCAAAATTTAAATAGCACCTTCAATTTTACGGGCTCTATTCCCCTCTACCTTTGTCGGCAAGGGAATATCCCAACAATAAAGACAAAAATTGCTAGTAAAATAGTTTATTTATGCACATGTTATTACAGTTAGGTATTTTAGCACTTTTTACCACTATTTCACTTTAATACTTTCAATTTATCTATCTACTACATTTTCATTATTCTCGATTAACTTATTGTATTTTACTCTTTCTCCTTTATGTTTAATTTCAACGTTTAATTTCTTTCTTTTCTTAATTCTTCACTTTAATTTTGCATCTACTTTTCTCTACTAATTCTGTTCCAATAGTAATTTTCTAAAAGTGCCTCATCAATTGTATTGTAAATTATTATTTTACAGTTTTAAAAACAAGTGTAAAAAGACCTTTTAGGTCTGATCACCATATTTTACTTTATATTTAATCTGTATATAGTACCAAATAAAAANCATCAATTTCCAATGAGTCTCCGTAAGTTGCCCGCTTCCAGCCATAAAATTTCTCGAGAATAGTTATTCTGGAAAATAGCTTTGCTGTGCGGCGCATTTAGAAGAGAATACAGCCAAGATGCCAAAGAAGAGGATGATCTAATGCCACGTCTCCACTTTGCATGTCGCAAATAATGTCGCAATACGTGCTTACGGTGTGATAAAAATCGTTGCTTTATATTTCTTGACTTAATTTGTCGCGTCCGAAAGCAAAATGAAAGCCCAAAAGACATCACTCACATGCACCTCAGGTTTTTCTTACACATGTGTTGAATTCAATGTGATCATAAAAGAATCAGCATATTATTCTTTAAAATACATACATTAGAGTCCACGCTGAGCTCACATTTAGTCAGAAGGCGCTTATAAATCTCCATTATTTCTAATATGTTCAATGAAACAAAGGGATATAGCCCGAAGTATGATATGGAAAGATGAGAGAGAAAAAAATGGGTAACTAATAACTAAAAAGACTAAAATACATGAGTGTTAAAGTGCTAAAATATTTATCGATCCTAAAAACCCCATTATCAACTGAAAAATAATACAAAACGACTAGATGCTTCAAGAAAACGAATAACAGCTTATATTTTAGCCCACTTTTTATGTTTCTTCCTCCCTTTTCTGTTGATGAGTTGACACCTTTTTTAAGCTACCCCATGTGCTCATCTCAAGGTCAGAAAGGTTTAAAGAAAAGGCAAAAAGACAGCTTGAGAGTTTTTGAATAGTAGCATCAACGAAAGATGCCTATCCGCATGCCAATTTTCTTCCTTTCTCAGGAATTTTGCTGTTAGGGAAAATATTTATCTGCGCGCGTTTCAGCGAGGGCCCTTCGCGGAGTACCCAGTGCATAAATATTGACTCAGATTTTAATATCCGAGAGGCTTTTGTCAAACAAATGCGTTTTTGCTCTTTGCGTGGCCTTTATTTATTAAGTTTATCCTCCCCTGACCACTGATCTTTTTATAAATTTCAGCTTCATGACCTAGGACTTCTCGTGCTACACATAGTGGTAAATCGTGCGTTATCAAGCAAAATCATTTTCCCTCAGACAGATGACATGTAGAAAAATCTGGAGTAGATTATGAAAGAGATCAGAGACGTAACTTAATATTTCGCTCGTCCACCACGTGACAGGCAGGGGCTAAGTGCACTGCATTTTACAAAAAGGAACCAAGACCATTCCAGTGTCGCTATAATATTGAGCAATTATTTTTACTTTAAAAATATAAACCGACCTCTTAAACAAGTTTTGTCTTGACTTCCGCAATGAAATATGGATTCACGACAAAAATTATAACTATGAATTTAATTTCTTGCATGATTTCAATAATTTTATTGCATAGAATGTGAGTTGCGCAATGCTAGCAACATTGGAATGCTCATTGTTCTTTATTGCAAAATGAAATCCAAGTAGCACTAGTTTAGCTGGAGGATAGTATATTTTCATCTCACCAAATAATACATGCTCTCAGTTCTGTAAGGAATTGAACCTTTAAGCAGAAATAGCAACCTATGATGATAACAAACTTTGAAAACTCATACTTTATTGTTTGAAATTACAAGGTCATCGTATATGTTCTTTCAAAAGGAATGTGTCACGTCTTCATACTGCCGTGCTAAGGAAGAACCCCGTATGAACAAGTTTGGCTTCAGGCGTTGCCAAATTTCCTTTAATAACACACGAATTTCCTGGTAAACTTATGAATGTCTCTCTTTCAATATTTCAGATCATTTTGTTCGCAATTTTGTCTAAAGTTCCTGAAAATTTCAAAGAAAAGTAATCATAACTTTTTTCAAAAATGAACATTTCATCGAAGGAAGTTTGGCAACTCTGGAATGTTCATACGGCGTTTTTCCTTAGCATGGCAGCATAGCTCCTAGGATTTCTACTATTCTGCGTAGTTGATAAATAAAGTAAAAGAAAATATTTTTGTTTTGGAGTTGAATTATTCCGAGCCAGCATTTGCTTTGGATTGGGCACGAGAGAAAGGCTTCATTGGCTAAAGAGGTATGCAATGAATGTAGACAGTACGAAATTCGCAGGGTTGGGGTGTGAGAGAAGGTTTAGGCCGGATGCCGGACATACAGTGGTGAAAGAGTGAAAGTGTGTCATTCCTCACTCCGTGTCCGAGTAATGCAGAACTACAAGAATGTGAGATAATGGAGACCTACCTCGAGAAGCTTATGCTGCCACGCTGAGGGAAAACGCCGCATAAACCTTCAGACGTTGCCAAATTCCCTTCGATAAAATACGAATTTACTTGGAGAGGTTGTTAACCTTTTTCCTTCAATTTTTCAGACACTTTTGCTCGCAATTTAATCTAAAATATCTGAGAAATTCAAGCAAAATGCGCATAACTTCCGCCAAAATACTTATTGTATCCGAGGAAATTTAGCAACCCCTCGAATGTTCATACGGTGTTATTCCTTACCACGCGTTGCTTTACAAATGATAGACAGCCACCTGATGATTTGCCTCGAGAGGCAGAAATGTAATACCTCATTTTTTTCCGAGGCACAAAGCGCACCTCTCCTTTCCACTGAATTACTCAGGGAACCCTCTATCCACACAGCTTCACAAAAAAGAAAGTACTAATCCACTAGCGTACGTTCATAGGAGGAGTGTGGACACTTGGCCCCATGGAGGGCTAAACGGCCCAAAAATGGCAGCGCTTTGTTTTGGTTTTTGAGAATGGGAGGGGCGGGGGTCATGGTCTACTTCTGACGGTTATCACAAACCCCACTTGCTGCCAATCTTACTATATCTAAAATGATTTTTCTCGAAAATAGCACGCAATTGAGATGTTGCATGTGTGTGGAATTTGCGATTTGACTGTTGATTTTTATGTGAAAGTTCGCGAGAAACACGATGGTGCCACTGGTTTTCTCTGAAATCAACTCCCAAGCTCAAAAAAAGCTCTCAAGCTGAGGCCAAAATGGAGGGGATATCCCACGCTATCCTGAAAGTCCCCCTCCACATCAAGGCAAACTCTCCATGCAAAGATAGCGAGCAAATACATTGACAGGGCTGCCACTTTATTTGGGGACTCCAAAACTGAAAACACGGCATCACTGCTAATGTATTTGCTCCCTATCTTTGCATGGAGAGTTTGTCTTGATGTAGAGGTGGACTCTCAGGGAGGGGTGGGATATCCCCTCCATTTTGGCCTCAACTTGAGAGCTTTTTTTGAGCTTGGGAGTTGATTTCAGAGAAAACCAGTGGCACCATCGTGTTTCTCGCCAACTTTTACATAAGAATCAACAGTCAAATCGCAAAATTCCTCACACATGCAATATCTCCATTAGCCGTAAAACTATGTAATAATAATGTAAGAATGCATTTGAGGCTTCTATATCCAGTTGAATGGAAACTCATTCTCTGACTATTTGAATAATGTTGTTCTGTTTCAGTATGAGCCGCTTTCGGAATGATGGAGTCCTGGCGATCGAGGGCTGGAGAGGCCATGGTCTATAGCCGGCGGGAATAATGAGACATGGTTCAAAAACCGGGCCGTCTTCGTCACTACAGGTCGACACAGACACTATTCCGTTCTCAGCTTGAGTTGAGATCACCAAAGCGCCAGAGAGCACGCTCTTGTCTTGCTTTGCTTCCCTCAGTTCCTTTCCGCCAGTTTGTTTTGCAGACTGCCTTTCTTTGGCTTCTGGTACGGATTGCCTCTTCACTCTTCATACCTTCACTGCAGGGCTTACCTAGACTATATTTTGTAATAAGGAGCTACACTTCCTAGAGTACCTAGAGTACCTATATAGCGATAGTATGGATATATCGTTTCAAGGAGGGCTTAGGGCCCAATAAAAAGCAGCCACCCTTCAAACCAACTTCTAACGCATATAATTTCACTACCAGTCTGCAGATTCCAATTCTAACCAAGATGGCTAAGAATGTACATAAATGAGCGTTCTTCCGCAAAAATTAGTAAATGTATGCAAAAACTAAGTCAAATACGTGCTTTATAAACGATGGTTCGTAATAATTGTACTAGTAAATCGCTCTGGATAATTGAAATTCATAGGTTAGCTGCATTTTTGGGCCCTACCTTTATTCGCAGATGCATCGGTGAAGGCCTGATGGATTTTCGGAGTTTCACATCTGTCTATACTCTCGCTCAGCTCTATATATACAGGTACTCTAAGAATACCTACGTAAGGAGAGTACTGACATATTGGTGCGATTCTGAGGTCGATCCTGTGTCTCACTATGAAAATTCTCCATCAAAATGTCGAAGTCAAGTGATGTGATTGGTCCAAGTCATCGAATAAGCCAATCACAACTCCTGACCTTGATATTTGGATGATTAGCTTTGATAGTGTGACACAGGCTTTAGATCATGGAGCTTGTAGGGCCCAAGAGAACAGCCAACCTGTGACTTAAAATCATCCAGAGTGATTTATCATTACAATTGTTACGACTCGTTGTTAGTAAAGCACGTATTTGACTTAACTGTGCGTGCTTAAATTGACTCATTTCTTCGGTAGAACGCTCATTTATGAACATTCTTGGCATCTTGGCTCGATCCTAGAATCTGAAGATTGGCAGTGACATTTTTTTGTGTCAGAGAGTTGGCAGCCCTCTTGGGCCCTAAGAGCTCCATATTTCCACGTGTCCGTACTCTCTCGATGTTAGTACTCTATCTATTCCTAGCTAATTTCAGGAAAAAATTATGTGAAATTAGTTTTTCTATGTAGATACTTGCTTTTATGGATAAGCCAAAAATGACACTTCTTTATTACAAAATATAGTCCTTACAATCTTTTGCGTGCATTTTTTTTAGGATTAAGGCATGTTTACAGAGATATCAAAAGGTACAACTGCCAGAGATTACAAGGTATTAAAATCGAAAAGGTAAAATTGAGAGGAACTTAAACAAAAGTCATTGTAACGATCGTAGCTCTCGCTTATCAAGGGACTCATTTTTGGCGTGATGGCTAGCAGCAGAAACAGCTCAAATAGGCATTTTGTCATACATTGTATGTCTAATTGCTTATTTGAGCCAGTGGGGCTGGAACCTTGATAACTTGGAAAATCAGTAGTTGATTAAGTGGCCCACGCAATTGCTTGGATCACTTCCATCACTATTTTTCACCATTGGGTATTGAACCCCCTTTACTTTATCGTTAAGTTCCTCAAGATTTTCATCTACATAGAAATTCAAGCGTCGGTGTATACCTGTGTGTTTCCCAGTGTTTGACAAAGTTGAGACAATTTTTTATGTACACTAGACTCTGCCAGATGAACTGAAGTTTGGTTACTTGAGCTTTAATCGATCTAATATTTAGAACGTTTATTTCCGAAATTCCGAGAGTTTTTCGTGCAACGCAGGGTCTTTTCTTTTATACAGTCAGTATTCGCCACATAATTTATTAAACTCATGTTTACAAGACTAAAAGAAAGGTTTAAATGTCTTCTCTTTTTTTAAATATCATTTTGAATTGTAGTAAAATATCGCGTAAAACTACATATAAGCGCAACATTTAAGCGCACTCTCCCTTTCCCCGTTCATCAGTGTGATTGTTCCCGCATGAAAATGGCTGCTTGTCCAATAAGGAAGCGTATTAAGTGACCTAATTGTTGAATTTGCATCTTTACACTGGTGTTTACAAGAAAAAAAGAAATAAATAATGCGAATAACAGCTGCTGTCGAGTATCGCCTGCGCAAATTGCGTATCATCAGATCATATGAAATAAGAACTAACACTGAATCGGTCAAACGCGGATCTGTTTATTCATTATTTAATCTAAAACTTGCTACAATGTGCAAACCACGTGACCCAACCGCCTAACCAACCCTGCAGGATGCAAAAATATGGCATTCGTGAATAATTGGGTTCGACCTCAATGAGTCAAATCAGTTATAAAAAGTCGCAGGTTTCATGAAATGAACTTAAATAATTAATTTTAACTAATTGCGAACAAAATAAGTCAATTAGACTACATTTTGCAATGGGGAACTAATAATTCTGACTCATTTTGGAAACTACGTATGCGTCATTAGTTGCCCTGTGCATATGTTTTTATTTTTTTTTTTTTGATTCAACCAAAATTGCAAGTTCCCAATTGCAAAATGTAGTCCAATTTAGGTTCCATTAAAAACTTTCTGTGCCTCCTTCTCTCTTAGTATGCCACCGTAAATTAAAAATTCAGAGGGTTTTTCCCCTTTTATGTCTTAAAGGAATGTTAGGAGATGTTTCGATAAAATAAATCACGCTTTTCACATAAATGCATTTCACTTTGAGATAGGAAAGTTTACACCTTGAAATTTATTGTAGAAACTGCACGATCTGAAATTTAAATTTTCATTGTTTGACTTGCAACCTAAACGCTTTAATTAAAGATAAGGAAAATAATGTTTCCAATATCACCATGCTTAATTTAATTGAATTGGAGTGTGTGATTGGCCACGTTTGAACTTGTTTATACGATTTTGGTTGATCTGTAAAATGACACCTTTTTGATTTCAGTGACAAACAAGGGATGGGAATAAATCCTCAAATGTTGTATTCCTCTTCTGTGTGTATGTGTCTGATTTTTCACCGTGTTTTTTTTTTTTCTTCGTGTTTCTCAAAGTTTTATTTGGTTTATTCACTTTTACGCATGCGAGTCAAAAATCGTAAAGGTTTTCAACTAGCTAACCGAGATTTTGACATATTTGACTGAAGATTTAGAATGAGAAACGCATGCTTAGGTACTTTGTCAACAATTTATGAAGTTCTCATGTTTTGTTTAGCAGACGTTTACATTTTTAGGTGGTAGACCTTCCCAACGCAAACAATTTCAAATTATTTTAACAGGCTCCCCGTAATAACTCGCTGTTATAATATGACGGGTTATATATCATATATTGGGTTCGGCTAACTCCACTCGGCGCAGTGCACCAACCACCAACTGTCAGTTTCAAGTAACTACATTGCTACCGCGTGATACGAAGACAGCCGTAAGTCTCAAATTTTTGAAATTGAGTTTCCGTCAAAATCCGTCTAATCTCTTTCAGATAAAATCTTAGGAATGGCTGTAGCAGCAAAATTCGTCTTATCGTATTATGTATGAAACCGAAGCATACGAGAAAACCGTAAGTTCCACGTAAGTAGTTCCAGATTAAAAAGCCGTAAGGAATGCATTATTCCTCCAGAAAGCCATTGAAAATAGTACTCTTCAGTAACATGCCACCCTCTTCTGCCAATTTCTAACTTGAAAATGTGTCTGTTGATGTCAAAACGCAACCACGAAATCATGCTGAAGATAGTTTTTACGCCTGTCTTGCTTAACATTATATGAAAATGAATAATACTCATTTTGTATTATTGAACAATTTTATTGTTCGGTTTTAAAACATGCAAACGATTTCCAGGAGTTTTCCGGCTAATTGGGGGTGATTTGACTGAGAACGGAGGCTTCTTTCAGTAAATTTTTCCGCTCCGACGCTAGGAAGCTTATTTCCTAAAAACTTCATTTTTGCTCCCACGGCTCTCTTCGCCAACACTGTAGTTTTGATATAATTCAGTAAAAGCAGTTGGTGTATATCACCAGTTCGATGGGTGCACATCAACACCTCGGTTACTTGCATCGAAATTGACCCGATTATTATCCAAACCACCCAAGCACCAATCTCTATTTCAGTGGTAGAGGGGTTGTTTTTACTTCATTGTCTGCGGTAAAATCAATCATGGTTGATTTCATAAAAACATTTTAAAAATTCATACAATTTTTGAAATTCGAAGCGATTGTTAACAGAGCGAATATAAGGGGTTTTCTTGTTTTTCTCGCATTTGCAATTTTGGCGCTCGCGTAATTTGGAAAATAACCGGTTCAATTGGACTGCATTTAGCAATTTGGAGCTATAAATTATGGATCATCTGAAAAAACACTTATGTGCATAAGGAAACTAATGGCACATACGTAGTTTTTAAACCAGGCTGGAATTTATAGTTCCTAATTGCAAAATGTAGTCCAATTAGCCAACTTTTTATTTTTAGTTTGAGCACATTCTCTTTTCAAGAGGGGTTCCTTGCCGGGATCCCTTATCCTTCTTGGATCCCCACCCTTGGAGCACCGAAACCATGGATGGTGTTCCTTCTCAGCAACCTGATCTCCCGCGATGAGGGTCACGTCACGGGCTGTCAGAGCGTGAGGGAAATTCGCCTTTTTTCCCGCGAGCGGTATGTGAGGGAGGCTTAATTTCAGCCTCGATCCGGTGTCGACGCAGGAGCGGTCTAATTTTAATCGACATCGACATGGGAGTAGAATAAATGATTTGCGGATCCTCATTCGCCCGCTAATTGGATGTTTACGGTTCCGACGGTGCCTAATCTCCGACGATAAGGGAAAATTCAACTCGATGACAAGAATACTATAAAAGTTCAATTAAACATCGATGCTCCTTGCTCCGCGGAAAAAGGCACGAAGTTTTTTTCGGCTGCGCTTGACATCTATGTTGGACCCCTGTGTCAAGGCCGAGATATATGACCCTCTTGGACTGCACAAGATGGCTCCCAATGGGGAGACAAACGTTC